AGCCCGAGCAACTGGTACACCATGTGGTCCTCAGCCTAAATGACTATGAGACCAGAAGAACTAGATGGTACCTGGCTACCACTGTCAACCACTTGGAATGGGATCTATGTAGGCGATCATGGATAGAGTGGGAGAACAATGTAGAACAAAACTCAAAATCATTTTAAAAAAAGGGGGTGGACCAGGTTTGCTGGTCTGATAGAGCCTGATGGAACCACTGAGACTATGGCCCCTAGCTGCCCTTCAGGTCTGCAATTGAACCCACTCCTGTGGTTTCCAGCTAAACAAAAGACAGGCATATGAGGTGAACATTTACACTAGGTAGTTACACTCCTTGGAGAGAACAATAATGGGAGAATTGAAGGGCTGTGTATGCACAGAGAGGCAGCTCAGGGGGCATGGAGGGAAGGACACTGGGAAGAGGTTAACTATGGCAAGGAGGTGGGAGGGGAGCTGTTGCATTGTGGTAAATTGTAGTCAATGTCATGAGGCAAAGTATATGTGAACTGGTGTATGGAAAGTAAATTTGCTTTGTAAATTTTACCCAAATCACACACACACACACAATGATAATCATACTGGACAGAATGGATCCTAAACCTAATCCCTTCTGAGTGGTATCTTACACAAAGAGCAGACTAGGTAGAGACACTCAGAGGGAGATGCCATGTGGTGATGCAGGCAGATGCAGCAAGGAATGCCAAAGATTGTCAGCAGCTACTAGAAGCTGAAAGAGACAAAAAAGGACCTTCTCTTAAACCCAGTCCCCTGCATTCAGATGTCTAGCCTCCTGAACTTGTGATATTTTGTATGGCAGCCCCAGAAAACTAGGACAAATGGCTTCTATAACTGGAAATATATGGTATATGGATAAGAGACAATTTTGTTGAGAAGGGTAAGAAATTAAAATGTAATGTTAACGTACATTTTCTGTTAATGTGTTTTCTTTGCTATGCATTGCTTTAATTTCTTACCCCAAGCTATTTGATGTAACAAAGGGCTTGTAGGTTCTCTTAAGGGAATATAAGGAAATGAATCACATCAATGATGACTATCAAAATGAAAAGATATTTTGGGAAGTTGACCTAAAACTTCCAATTGATGTGATCCCTTTGAAATTGTCTGACTAGAAGAGGAAATGCATTTGCTTTAGACATATTGAACACGTAATTAAATGTGTCTATCAATACCTTCAGTAAGGTGCAAGGTGATGGTAGATAAAGGGAAAAGGAAAATTGACCGACTGGTTAAAGATTACCAAAAGACCTGAGAGGATTCTGGTTGCAATAAATATGTTTTCTGGAAGGAATCCCACTAGCCATTAGATCTTATAGATCCTGGCTACTGTAAGTGTGGTACATGTGCTAGCTTGTCTTTATACATAAAATATTGAAGGTATGTTTGGCAAAGGAACTTGGAGGATATGAAGATAAAAACCCAAGGTCATTGATCCTTTCCCAAGGACTCAGGAGTACCTAGGAAGATGGCCTTGAGTTTGTATTTGTGCAACAGTTTCTTTGGTGTAAAAGTTAAGATAAATATGGAGTATTAAGCTCTGGTAGTGTAGTGCCTAAGGCACTTGACTGCTAACCAGAAGGCTGAGAGTTCAAACCCACCAGCCACTCCTCAGAAGGAAGGTTGGGCAATCTACTTCTGTAGTGATGCTTCCTCAGAAACCCAAGGAGGGGTCGCTATGACTCGGGTCTGACTCGACAGCACATAACAACAACAATAACAACCATACTGGAGTCCCTGGGTGGTTTAAACAGTTACAAGTGCTTAGCTGATACCCGAAACATTGGCAGTTAGATTCTACGCGGGTGGCTCAGAAAAAAGACCTGGCAATCTACTTCTGAAAATCATCCATTGGAAACCCTATGCCGCAGTTTTATTCTGACACAAATGAGATCACTATGAGTCAGAATCAACTCAATGATACCTGGTTACTGATTAATCATACTAGAACTAAATTAATAGCATTATATATTATGAAACCCTTAATTTATGGATTGCACCAGGGCTGAGAGGACTGGCAGTTAGCATGCAGACCCTGAGGGCTATATGATAAGGACTGTATTAAAAAACTGTTGGGAAACAAAGGTAGCAGCTTTCCTGGGCTGGAGTACCCTGCCCCAATGTCAACTTCATCTGTTTCAATTGATTGTGTGTGCCCCATGCAGTGATAGGGCTGGAAGCTACACCTAAGTATTGCAATACCTCCTAAAGAAAATGTTCATTCTCTCTACAACCTGTGCTTTCTCTGTATAACCTTTTCACCAAGATAGATACACTTAATACTAGGTGTTATGGATTGAACTGTGTCCCCATAAATATGTATTGTAAATCCTAACCTCTATGCCTGTGGTTTCGGAAGGAAGATGGGGCAATCTACTTCCATAGTGATACTGCCTCGGAAACCCAAGGAGGGGTTGCTATGAGTCAGATCAACTTCACTGACGGCAGTGAGTTTGGTTTTATTTTGGTATGCCTATGGTTATAATCCCATTTGGGAATGGGTTGTCTTTTTTATGGTAATGATCAGGATTAGTACAGCATATATCTTGAGTTGATCTCAAAAAATATATATATGTGTGTGTGTGTGTGTGTGTGTGTATATATATATATATATATATATATATATATATATATATATATATGTTGTTGTTATGTGCCGTCGAGTCGGCCCCGACTCATAGCGACCCCTCCTTGGGTTTCCGAGGCAGTATCACTACGGAAGTAG